TTATAGATGCGTAGATGACGGCAAAGGCGGATTAATCAGATATAAATTTACTTGTGGTCCAGGTACCGCTTGGGATAACAGCATTCAAGCCTGTAATCATAAATCGGTAGTTGCCAGATGTGAACAATCTGGTCAATCGGAACATTTCAGTCAATCAGGACAAGAAGTCCAGGCAGGACAACAAGGCCAGACAGGACAAGCTGTTCAATCAGGACAACAAGGTCAGCCTGGAGAAGCTGGTCAAGCAGGACAACAAGGTCAGCACGGACAACAAGGTCAGCCTGGACAACAAGGTCAGCCGGGACAACAGGGTCAGCCCGGACAACAGGGTCAGCCCGGACAACAAGGTCAGCCCGGACAACAAGGTCAGTCCGGACAACAAATTCAGCCCGGTCAACAAATTCCACCCGGACAACAAGGCCAGTCTGGACAATCCGTTCAGCCAGGACAAACCGGCCGGCCTGATTTATCAAAGCCGAGCAATCAATCTGCTCACCTGAACAATAAATGTGATCGTGAAGGATTTATGATGAACGCAGCTGACTGTACAAAATTCTTTAGATGTGTAAATGAAGGTAATGGAGTATTCAGGAGATATGATTTTAATTGTGGGCCAGGAACGGCTTGGGATGATTCACTGCAAACCTGCAATTATATTTCATTAGTACCATCTTGTAAAAGTTCTGATTCCGGAAATAATATCCATTCAGGCAACATGCAAGCAAATACGTCTGAATCAATTGCAACTGCAAATCCAGTAAGTGGAAATTTTGAGTGTCGTCAAGCAGGATTTTATTCTCATCCCTTCGATTGTCAACGCTATTATCGATGTGTTGATTGGGATGGTGATAAGGGTCAACGATTTTCTATATTCCACTTTATTTGTCCAAACGGTACATTATGGGACCAATTATTGACTACTTGCAATTACAAAGATTCGATTTATCCCCCAAGAAATTGTTCAGAAGCTCAACAATCCGTATCTTCAAGTGCTAATCCATTAACTGATTCTACAACTTCTGTTATGTCAAGTACATATATTTATAGCACTACTGATAGCGTCTCTACTTTTACCCCTATAACAACTACTGAAGAAAATAGCTTATCTACGTATTATACCACAACTATCGAGACAACTACAGATAATAATAGTAAATCAACAACCGCCGATAGTAGTTCAACTGATGGAATGGCAACCACTGGCAGTGCTTATGATACGTCTCCCACGATATCTATGGGAACATCAACATGGCCATCGTCTACCGAGCATATGAGTACAGATTATTCAACATCACCTGTTTTATCAACATCGAGCGATCCTTTGAGTACCGAATATTCATCAACTATATCAGCAACTTCAACAGAGCATTTAAGTACAGGATCAACTACATACGCAACGACTGAAATTACAATGGTACCGACTGGAAGTTCATCACATATTTCGAGCACTGAATTTAGCACAACTCAAGAAATGTTATCTATCAACAGCACAACTGATATAAATACAGAATCAACTGTTGTTACAGAATCATCATCAGCGCCATCCGTTATAAGTAACTGTCCTACAGATTTAGAACAAGGTCAAGCTGTGTATGTTTGTCCAACAAGCTTCAGAAGACATCCTACAGATTGTAACTTATTCTACCAATGTACAAAGAAACCAAATAGTGTGAATATGAATATTGTAATTCTTAGTTGTCCAAATGGTACAATGTATGATGAAGGCCATGTTCAATGCTTAGATATACCAAAAGATAACAGATGCTACGATAGTAATATAGTAACCAGAAAGATGAAGGCGCTCACATCATTTGACAAACCTGTAAGTGTATAAATATTTTCATACCCTTTGTATAATATATATGTATATATATATATATATATATATATATATATACATATATATATATATATATATATACGAGTATATATATATAATGGTGTGTGCATGTGTGAGTTTGTTTAATTTTTTCTTAATTTATGAAGTTAGTGAAATTGCGGATATATTTTGATTTCGCATCGCTAATTATTTCAGATTCGAGTCAAAAGGGAACAAAAACTATGTCCTGATGTGGGCTCTCACGCCCTCAATGATAAGGACGAGTGTGGCCAAACATTTATAAAATGTTCCCGTTCAGCAAAAACAGGCAGGCTAAGTGGCGAACTATTCAGTTGTCCAGAAGATCAAGTTTTTTCAGTTGAAGATAAACGATGTGTTAGGACAACCACTAGTACTAAGTGCCCAAGATGGTACAAGGAGTACAACACCAGTATACCTATATATAGAAGAGATATAGACGAGTGAATAATTATATTTATCTAATGATCGCGTAAATATCTTAGTCGTTAAACTGAACTAATAATAATATTTTATTGCAAAATTACGTAAATATACAATAAGAACACTTTCTGATTTATAAGCTTTTTGACTTGTCAATGGAGAGTGGTCTTATTCAATATTGAATAGTTCTTTTCGTATCGCATAGATATTAATGTAAAGAACGATAAGGGCTATTCGATTCATTCAAATTTTGAATTTCTTTTAATCTTCAAGTGTGAAGATATAAAGAAGTTCTCAGGGATATTACAAAAATTGGTGTAGGGTAATTAATATTTAATGCGTTTATCCAATGCTAGTGTATTTTGTAATTATATATTAATAAGTCAGTCGTTATTACATTGCCATCTCATTAATTTAACATGTATTTTTAAGCTAAGATTAAAACCCATGTTTTTGCATTTTGCGCCATTCTCCTTGTGCAATTATAAATTAATGTTTATATCGCACTTCTTATTTCATAAAACCGCCTCCGTGTTAAAAATTAAATTTAAGAGTAAATTGTGTTATGTAACTGAATTGTATATAATCGAATGAATGGTAATATATACATATATGTATGTATATATATATATATATATATATATATATAAATATATATATATAACATGTAATTGAATGATCTTATACATGACATGTAATTGAAAAATGTATTTAATTTTATACCGTGAATAAAATATTTTACATGTTCAGTTTTAGTATACCATTAAGTTTTACATATATATTTTAATTGATAATTAATAATTTTTAATTAATAACTTAATCTAAAACCGTACAATTTTCTAAAAACTTCAAATGAATTTTAAATAATAATTGAAAATTTTGGCAAATAAATATTCAGTGCATTAAAAACAGTTCTATATATATATATATATAGAACTATATAATTTTTATTGTGATTCTTTTTGCAGACATATTTCCCGGGAATAAAACTGTTGACAATAGCAACGAAACAAAAACCATATGTAAAATCATCTATATTTATATAAAGAGTTTCTGGTGTTAATGAACATACTATAATATTTTTAATTTAAAACATTTAAAAAATTAATTACAACTAGTGGGGTGCATAGCATCGTGCCTTAAGGCAAATTGCTGGAACTTCCCGTACCAAAAGTTTTTTTTTTTTAAAAAGATTAACATTTTTGAAAAAAAATTACTCTGAAAAATTAGATTTTTGAGATTTTTGATTACAAAAATTTAGTTTTTTTGAAAAAAAGACTTTTTGAAGAAAAGTGTATTTTGAAATATTTTGGAAATTCTGAACTTTTTTTCAAAGCAATCATGCTGCTTTAACTGCATAGAGACGAAATATAGAAGCGCGTAAGCGCCGCGCCGCCGTCTAACAGATAAGCATTGGTACGGAACCCATAGGAATGTAAACAAAATATACACTTATTGTTAAAATCTCTATAAAATATCTGATAATTTGATGTGCATATGTCTAATGATCATTTTTGACCGCCAGATGGCATTTTTTTTACTTTTTTTACTAGATCTCCGAAACCGCTAGACCTGCCTTCATGAAAATTTGATCAGTTCTTCATCTTGTTAATACGAGTAAAATGTTTTTTACTTAATAACTAATGTATTAAATATATTCAAATCGGACGCTCCGTTCTCTTAAAAACTGAGTTACCGTTTTTGGCACTTTTTGCCCCATATCTTCGGAACGGCTAGATCTGCCTCGAATTGCGCTCTATCTAAACGTTAATATTAAGAGCTACAACTTTCGACAATTGTTTTTTATCTATTTGGAACCATTTGAGCCCCTGGGAGCAAAGAAATTCGAAAATGACCATTTTAAGGACCACCCTAATATATATATATATATATATATGTATATATATATATATATGTATATATATAATATATATATATATATATATATATATATATATATATATATGTTAAAGAAGTTAGTTAATATATATATATAAGGTTGTCAAATATCTCCCTTCCGCCTGTTTGTATTATAAACCAAGAGCAAAACAGCGGAAGGGAGATATTTGACAACCTAATATTTAGTCTGACTTACCTTAAATTATCACAAACCTAATCTTCTTATCATTGAACTATTTCAACAACAAACTTTTGATAAATTGTCAAACTTTTATAATTTTCATTTATGATTAATTCTTTTCTGTCAAGTTCTGCACTTTTTTGTCTTTATCTGCTGATGATTTAATAACAATTCTTTAGAATAAGCACATTGTTTTGTAAATGCTATTGTACCAACGCATCACGCTATACAATGCAGTATTATGAAAGAGCTTATTTAAAAATCAACATAATTTTTAAACAAATTGAAAAGTCCATTAGTGCATGTCATATCTGTCTATAAATCATTGAAATGTGTATTTCTACGGACGGAAAGCGTTTATGAAATATTGAGCGATATACCACTTATTTAAATTGACGGAGACATTCTGAACAATTTTTAGGCCACATGCGGTAGCACGTATTTGACTGTAAACAAATAAATGAAAACAAATGAAATCCACGATGTCGCAATTGTTCTAATAATTCGATAGAGCCACACAAAATGGGCATTTGAATTCCATCAGCGTTTTTAATCAGTTTTATTTTTTGTTTTAATAATACGTTCTTGTGATATTTGCGGTAAAGATTTGGGAGAGAGAGAGGAAAGAACATCTATTACATGTATTTGTATGGTAAGTTACATTTTTAAAATTAAATATAGTATAGTATCTCAATATTTTTTTCGTGGTGCGTTTTGAACGAGTTTGAAGTTAAGTTTGATTTTTTGACACTTTATATTTTATAAACTGAGAATCTTATAAAAGATTATTTATAAAATAAATCATTTTGCATACTTATATGTTTTCATTTGGTTCTTTTGGAACATTTTGTGTAGTAATAAATTAAATGATTTACAACTGAGATATATATATATATATATATATATATATATATATATATATATATTCGCCTGGTAAGTCAAATTCACATTTTTTAAACCAAATATAACACAGTATCTCAATCTTTTTCGGTGCGTTTGATTGAGTTTGAAATTGAGTTATTAAAAATTGCGTTTTAAAAACATTGCTGTATTGAAAAGATAATGCATTTTCATTTGGTTCTCTCTTAAGATTTTGTGGAGAAATAAATTAAATACTTTACAACTGAAGTTAAGATATACCGTCAAGATTTGGGAGAGTGGGGATCTCATCTAGGGTCTATTGTATTTATTTCACTGGTAAGTTAAATTTACATTTTTATAACTATGTTAAACTTAAATATATATATATATATATATATATATATATATATACATGTATATATATATATATATATACATTAGAATCCCGGTAAGGCCATCAATCTTCAATTAATCTGCACTTACATATTCTTAACGGGGTGGTTTAAGATATACGGTCAAGATTTTGGAGAGTGGAGATCTCATCTAGGGTCTATTGTATTTATTTCACTGGTAAGTTAAATTTACATTTTTATAACTATGTTAAACTTAAATATATATATATATATATATATATATATACAATATATACATTAGAATCCCGGCAAGGCCATCATTCTTCAATCAATCTGCTCTTACATATTGTCTCTATACCGCGTTTTTGGTGCGGCTCCAGAAAATCGTCTTAACGGGATTTAATGTGTTGTTACACATGCCAATATTATATTGCAATATACATTAAAATTCATGTTTTGCAGTGTTGGTTCCTTCTGATTGTCTGAAAGTTGATTGTTTGCCAAATAAAATGATGCAGCATCTTCGAGAGACCAGACCCTTACTATTAGCCGATGACGATGATGAACGAGTCCCAGCCATCGTTTTCAAACCTCCACCAACTAAAGCGACAAGGGAAAATATCAGATCTGAAGGTTTGCACAAAGGGGCCGCGGTAGTTATCTCGAAATGGCCAGGTAATTATTTAACCAGTTAACTGTGGCGCTCTCATCGTTCATCAAGTTGCACTGCTCAAATATCGGATAAAAATAGGTTTATTTTACAAAATTGAAAATTTTTATTGTGAGTTTATTTTTTTAGTTAACATAAATAAGAATATGGGGTAGGGCGGATCCAATTTGACTTAAAACCAAACCAATAATATAACAACAAATAACACATATCAAACATACAACTATCTGACTGTTTAGTAAAACCCCTAACTAATTTATCATTGTAAAATGTGTTTTTATGCTGTTTTTGACAAAAATGTCACCTGGTCTTTTTAACCCATAGGCGGACAGCTAGGGGCAATAAGTCCAATGTCTTATTTTCAATTTTAAAAGACTTTTACAAAACAATAGCTACATTATTCAACCAACTGGTTTTGATGCAAAATATAAATTTCATAAGTATGTACATTTTTTACAGAGATAACACTGTATATAACCTTGATCTGGTATTCTGTAGCAGTAGAGTTGAGATAAACAAATTAATTACCATTTTTACATTTTCGTTCACTATTGTTATTGTTTACGCGCTTGCCAGGGCAAAGATTCAGTTGTCCTTTTTTACCCCACCAACATGTAAGCTTTTATATAGGTTAAATTGAAAATCTGTTGAATCTAAGTTAAAATTAACAATATATCTTATGAAACAAATTAATAACGTATACTTAAAAGTTATATGAATTTCAAACATTGCCGTTTATATTTCGATAACAACGTCGTGAGAATCAAATTGATACATATGGTTATACAACTTTCCCTCTACTT